ATAAATACCTAGCTGTAACTAGAGGGCATTTTGAAACACCTATAAGGTATGCATTAACTAAAATCCCGCGTAGGCGTAACATAGAGAGGTTTGAAATGCGTAGCATTTTTGGCTAGAAATGCGTATAAAACGCATTTTGAAACGCCCAAATTATTTGCTGGGTGGAAAGTAGGTACTGAGATAACAGGAAAGTACCAAAATTTTATCTGAGGATTCCTAATGAATTCCATTTTCTGAGATCAAATGGGTGTTGTGGGCAGTTGCACCCCCCTCAACACAGTTGACCACAAACTACAGGGATATGTATGAGTCCCTAAAAATGATTTTAAAAAAACAATGAAAGAATTTCCACCTTGCAAAAACCCTCCAAAGGTGCACATGAAGGGTCCCATGATCCACTGGCTGCCAGAAATGGCGTCCACCACAAAAATCCACAGGCAGACGGTACATGTGAGTGCATCTGCAAATGCCAGGTTCAGCAGTAACGCCCTCAGGGCACGGTTCCACAGTTGGCTGTAGATGAGGGACGCCGCGGCAGACACATTGCCCAGCAACGCCGCAATGGAAATGAAGGCAAAGACCGCCACTTGACCGGCTTCTTTCCATCCCAGATCCGCCAGTTTCGGCGCCATGTGGCCAAAGTACACAATTTCAGTCAGGTTCCATTCGTCAGCCGGCGTCTCTGAGCAGTTGTAAGTAGATGCCAATTTGTGTAAGGAGTCCAACAGGAAGTCGTAGTAGTCTTCGAACGAGTAATCCGAGTTTTCTTCTGGCTGTCCAATATCGTCAGTAACCCACTGATGGTCTTCTATACGTGACGAGTTCTTCACCTCTTGCAAAGGAAAAGAGAATAAAAGCTTTTCAAAATTTATGAAATCCAGTGACCCCGAAAAAGTGTGCAGTGAGGACAACTCAAATCTCTGAGTTATTAGTGCTGTTGGAATGATGAATATATCCATTGCGACAGCCAAAGAGTTGAGGTTGAATTCGAGATGGTTAGTTCAAGTGTTTTTGTAAATTATTCCATGCAAAAATTGTCCAACAACAATATGCATCCTTATTCTCTTAAAAAAATGTTAACTTATACAAAGTGTTGTATCAACCTTCCAATATGAAATCTCGCAATTCCAAGATCAGGAAAAATAATTTCAATTTTCAAAGAATTTATCCTAGTTATCTGGATAAGCTCTTCAATTCTTCATTGCAGAGGACATCAGAGTATAATACCACCCAATGATGTGTAAATTCAGAAATACCTGTACAGTATAATTTTAAAACTTATCCCAGCAAGCATGGGCATGTGCTTCTCTGTGAAGTTGACCTCTGCACAATGGACCACACGCACAAAGGATTTTTGCACAACAGACTGCCCCTGGAGGCAGTTTTCCTCTTGTGCAACAGACTAAATCTGCATAACAGACTTCTATTGGTTTAAAATTGATGGTAAAAGGTAAAATTTTTAATTTTTTAATAATTGAATTTCCATAACAGAATTGTCTGTTGCACAAATTAAGTCTGTTGCGCAGGGGTTGACTGTAATGGCCTAATGGTATGCCTCAAAAAGCTTTGATTTCTTTGAATTTGGTTCTTTCTTATCTATGGACAAGGCTGTTTTGTCACTTAACCTGTACGTGGCAAAGTATATATTTTTGCAACATGTTGTGCCACTGAGCTCTGGAAATAAAAAAATCCTACTTCTGTACCAAGGCCTATAAGCTCGGGAAAAGTCTGATGTTTTTTTCTAATCCAGCAGAAAATTTTGAATGAAAAAATAAAGAATAAACCTCTCATGGGGTGGCATTTTTTCCTGCATTCCTGGCATGTGCTACTTCATGTGAGGTTTCTGTTACTTCTTATTATTAGGGTCAGGCAAGAAGGGATAAAAAAAGGGGTGAGGGTTTGATTGGTCCCTTGGGGTCAGGAGCCTCTCTTTTAATGGTGAAAATAAATGGTCACCAACTGTTTGAATTGACTATTTGCAGTCAGTTTTGTGGCAAAGAAGAGGAAAATTAATCAATTATGGTTATTTCAGAATGAGAGGGCTATACAATTGATTTTTGGGCTCAATCATTTTTCTTATTTCTCGTAGAAAGTTTTAAAAATGAGGAAATTGTCATTTTCCTCCCCTCCATCTGGAAAGGATACTTTGCAATTGACTCTGAATGAGTTCAGACCCAATTTTCAGCAGGATGCAGGAATATCTTTTTGTTATGCTATTTCCTCATCATATCGCAGTTGCTGGTGAGCAATAAATGTTTTATTCTCAGCGTTTCTAAAACTGCTGTCTATCTTAGCTCCTGGGAAAAGTGCTCTCTTGATGCCAATATATGGAGAAAAAAAGTGGAGCAATCTTTATAGTAGCTTTATGCTGCATAAAAATTTGCTGCATCAGACAAGTGCTGTTATGACAGCTGTGTTGAGTGATGTGTTGAGTTGTGGCATCTTGCGTGAGCTCTTTTGAAAGGTAGAAATATTCTCATCCAATACAGCCGTTTTGCATTCAACGCATATGCTTTCAGCAACTCTGAAATGCGGAATTACTTCAGTTTCATAGTTCGAATGATGTACAAAACTTGCGTACGGTACATCAAAGGCAAGCTTGTATGCAAATTTCAAACAGACGAAGCATGAAATGACGACTGTGGATTTATTTCACCTTGAATGAACCGCCCTCAAGTACAGTACAGTACAGTACTGTAATGTACATTTATTTTTCTGTCGCATAGCCAACACGCATTTATTCAACGCCGTTCTTTAAAGAAAATATCAAGTCCATGCTGGCAATTGAATTGGAACTCACTCAATTGGCTAACACACTCATCAGAAAAGTGAAGCAAAAATCTCTCTGATGTCCTTCTGATGACCAAAGCAATGAAACTCACCTTCTCAATTGATAGATAGCATTCCATATTGATAGAAATGAGCTTAAGAAAGATGTATAAGTATTAGAATTTAATGAAGAGACCCTTTCTGAAATCAAAGAGGATCAAGATAAATGTTTGGCCTTATATGATTTCTCATCAAAGATTCTCTTCAAATTGTTCATTCAACTTAACCTCATCTGGGAGCAGGTTGAAGACCTTGTGCTTTAACCCTTGGGCGGCAAAGTTGGACTATTTTCGCAAACTTTTGTTGCACCTCAGGGCAGAAAATAAAAAAAAGGACAACAGGGATTTGAGGACAAAGTTGGGGAAAAATCCGATGTTTTTTTCTTTTTGCACAGAAAAATTTTGTAGGAAAATTAAAAAAAATGCTATGCTAAGCAATGGGCTTTTCTTGGATTAATCCCAACTTTGCCTGAGCCCACCTGGAAGGTCTTTTCTGACCTTCAGAAAACGTAATACGCAACAGCATACAAAAATAATCCGATTTCGGCCAGCAATGGGAAAGAACCCTCCACGTCCAAGGGTTAATATGAGCATATCACATATTCCATATGCAGTATTTCAACAGTAGCTGATGTCGCAAAAATTAACCATAGAATGAAATTCGACACACTAAACTTAAGACCCCGAATTCTTGTCTTCACTTTATCCCTGTGTGACAACCTTGGTTCACACACACATTCTCTTGAAGCCTCAAGGCTGTTTTCCATTGCTAAAATCCTGGTCCTGTTATTTGTCCTTGGAGGACAGGTTTCCTGGTTTCTGAATGAATCAAAATTCTTCACTCTTCCCTGAGCTCTCATGCCAGAAACTCCTGTGCGTTCATGAATATTGTGTGCATTGACTGTGTGTGTTTGAAATTTTGAAGTATACCAACTTTAAAATAGGGTGATTTTTCACCCCAGTCGTAGCCCAACCAAATTCTTGTGTTTCATTTCCTAAATTTTTTTAAGTTCAAACCTTTTCTCATAAAATCTCTATTTCTTGAAGATTTATTCCCAACAGCTGAAGCCTTTTCTCCTTTTTGTTCTTGATCAGTGAATGCACTATACAGTATGGGGGATTTCAAAATCCAAGTACAATTTGTGAAATGGAGGATTTTTTGAACATCATTAAAATGTTGCTTGTGATGATCTATTACCTCTGCTTTTCATACACTTTCTTTCCATCCATGCAGCAGGATGAAATTCAATCAAAATATTTCATATACTGTACAAACAAGACCAAAAATGAGAAAAACTCAAGATTTGAATTGTATTTATAGCACTAAAGAAAATTCAATATTTCTATGAATTCATAAATCAATTTCAAAATTTGCAAATTAAATAAATAAAATGTTTCAAAACTATGTTCTGCAGCCAGTGCATGTAACATAAAAATTTGCAGGTTCAAGGCTTTTTGGAAGACTTGAACTTGGCAATCTCAAAAAAGTCTTTGACAGGTTGAATTTGGAAAAAAACTTCTACAAGGCAGCATGAAATAAATTTTAAAAATGATACTTTATATGAAAAGAGATTTCTTGATAATCAATCCTTCAAATTTGTATATGCATGCAAACACTCTAAATTCATAGTGATGAAGTGGGGACAAAGTATAAATGTTTTTTTTTTGTAAATTAGATCAGTTCAGATGGTTATCTGGATTTCCAAACACTGAGAAATCCACATGAGAAGAAGGATGAATACATAACCCTTATGATGCACTCAAAAAAAAATCTGTTTGAGGTATTCTCTCAAACTGAAATATGTGTACTCAAAGTATAACAAAAACATACAACTTACAGTGGATGATGGGTCCAGAACGCTGGATGTCATGACCAATAACTTGTCCAAGAGCAGTGTGTAAGAAGCTAATTTCCTTGTCAATTCTGGGATACCTATCAACAGTGATGCTGGTGGTGACCAATCTAGGTGCTGGCAACCTGTGGTCTCCTTGACCTCTTGCCAGCTCTCCCAAAGCTGCATTATTCAACCAAAACAAAAATAAATCAATTTTATTTGATTCCACCAAAAAAATATTTTAAAAATTGGTTTAAAAAAATTCAAGGTACAAATGTTCTCCTTCCATATTCCAAATGTTTTCGGTCTTATTGAGAGCCAATCAATTCAAAAATTTAGAGCTGCTGGTTAGGCTTCAAATGTACTAATGAAGTATTGATGCATGAAATTTTGGGACTTTTCCAATCTGATTCATATATATAAGGAGGTTATACCAACTTGTGCTTAAAAGAGGTTGAAGATTAGTTATTAATACTATTCTTTCAAGCCAGAGGTCCCCAGTCACACCTGATGGGCATCAACATTTGCATATAGGAAGTTTGAATTTAATATCAGGATCACTTGTTATTCCAGCAGCTTTATCATGCAGGTCACAATTCTCTTGTGGGACGGATTTTCAATTATGAAATTCCAGAAAGATTACAAAGTCTTCAGCATAATGTACAACAGCGATATGTTCCCAATGATAATAATAATTATTATTATTATCATTATTTTATTATTACATGTAATATCAATATTTATTTAATCTTCATATCATTATATTCACCATCATCAAACTCTGGTGGGATTGGCCTGAGGATCCTGCGATCAGAAGCACCCCACCAGGGGTATGCCTGTCCCTGGGTACAGTACCCATCTGGCCTGCGGTACCTGAGATGAGGGGTGCAGTCAATGTTCTGGTCTGACTTGTATGCAGCTGGACAGATGCCCCAGATGCCAGTGTAGCTCACATCCACCTGTGGCAACAGCTTGGCAGCCAAAGCGGATGACAAGTACAACCTGTGCAATTATCCCACACACAAAGAAAAGAAAANAAAAAAATCATGGATAATAATAATTAAGAGATACAAAGAACATTGTTCTCAATAATACTGCATTACACAAATACCATATGTGCAGGTTTCACTCAAGTCTACTGCACATCAAGTGTATAGATACACACAGCAGCACTCACCTTTTTCTCAGAAACTAATATTCAAAAGTTGAAAAATTGGGTTGCATGAGAATTGCAGAAGTAAAAAAGAGGCAGAAAAAAGTTGAGAATCCAGTAAATGATCTTTAAATGGAAAAAATTAGCCATTAACACCAAATTTGAAAAGCAAAAAAAAAATAAAAAATGTAAACCTAAATTTAATTTCATTCAAATTTTGAAATTTAATAATACACACTTGAATAAGAAGTGGCACTTGCATAAGCTTCCAGCAGTCAAGCGTAAATTCCAATTTTTATCTGTTCACATTTTTAAAGAATTTTGATTTTGATGCAGAAAATGGGGGCATGCAGGTTATCCCATATTGGGATACATTTTTTCTGAAAATGTATTCTATTACTAAAATCAGGGTACTCATTTTACTTTAAGGCATATACTGTATGTGGTCAATTCTGTGTCTACAAATCATATGCCACTTTTTTTTTCTCTTTATTACGAGATGTCAAAAGATTTCTTTTTATATTCTGAGGCATTCTTTCCATAACAAAAACTTTAATTTTTAACAGACTGCAATTTTTTCAAGGCTTTCCAGGAATAAAACATAAATATATTCTGGATGACTTGATTTTCAAGTGGTACCAAAATTGATATAGATCACCAGCATTTCTCACATTGTACATTATGACACTTTGAAAATACTACATATTGTAGAGCAAAGCACTTTCATTGATTCTATAAATTTAAAATATTTTACCAACTTTGAAAAAACACTTTTTGGTCAGATAAAGTTGATCCAAATAACAGAACAATTATTTAAATTAAACACATAAGTTTAATGAAACAATTTTCCATAATATATACAGCAAATTTATTTATCACAAAATACATCTTGGAATATAATAAGCTGGAAAATGTTTGCATATGATTGCTGTGATTCTCAAAGAGACTGGAAATCAATATTTGATTCAAACAGCAGGAACTTTTTTTTTTTACCAAAAAAGCAAACATATTTGTATAAGTACAAAGAAGTGCTGGTTTTATAACACACAGTATAAATTTGCATTCAATTGAATTTTTGTATGATTCTTACAATTATATAAAATAAAATAAAATACACATGCAGCTGTATTGAAAATTGGGTATTTTGGCATTAACCTGTCCTTGATGCAGATGCCAGTGATGTGGATAGCCTTGCCAATGGCACAGTGTTCCTCATGACTATGTTCAACACCGCCATCATATGCAGTTGGCAAGTATTGTCCAACTTCATTCAGTGCCTCTGCCAGACACTCATTGACCAGGACATCAGTGATGCACCTGCGCAGGAGCGACACCTGGATGATAGACTCCACCCCAGTGCATATAACTATGCACCCCCCCCCCCTCACAAAATAATGACTTACTGATCAGAGTTTGGCACAGGGACCAAACAGTTTGCTGATGCATAGTTGGCAGCAGTGGGCTGTAATTGGGCTCCAAAGCTGACCAAGATGGCTGCTAAGAGGGTCAAGGAAGGACCCATCTTGTGTTTGAGATTATTTGACAAGAACAAACAGCACTGACTTGATCAAGCAACCTCTTGGAGGCGACTGAAGCAATGCCACTTCAGTCGGATGACTGAACCACTGGCTGGGATTTCTGCTGAGGTTTTTTTCCTTGGCTACAAATTGTAATTTTGCACACTGTCAGCAAATTTTGCACACATACAAGTCCGAGTAAGCAAAAGTTATTTATGAATATCATTCAAAGTTCTGTCTGACCCTTTCAAACTGACAGAGGATGTTTTTTTGTCCAGCATGTATCAGGGTATTTTTTTGCTGCGATTGACAACTCATATTACATGCACAAGCACAATAATAATGTTAAGAAGAGAGTTCACTTTCAAAAATACTGCCAAAAAATGCCACAGATTGCATAATTTGAGGATGAATGAATAACAGGAGAAGTAATTAATAAATTTATCTGAAGAGCATAGAAATACTAGATCATCAATTTTATCATCTAACATCTTCTGGTGTGAGTCATGAAAAATGTATTTATGCACACAAAATCACTCATTTAAATTTTCCACTTACTGAAAAATTTGGTTTCAAGGAAAGATGAATTCCAAAAATCTCAGCATTCATGAGTAATTCACATTTTACATTTTTTAAAGGCGCATAAGAAATTGTAAAATTCAAGATTTAAATCCATGATTCTTGCACATCATGAAATATGTATCAATCAGATTGTTTCCAAACAGACTCTATTCTATGGATCTTTCCACATACTAACAGTATATAACTCAAAAAGCACTCTTTTGAGTTTACATTAATGGGATCCAACAAATAAGGTATGAATGCTGAATAATTCTGATTTCTCACAGAAAATCATATCAAATGTTGTTATTGTAATTACAGTAGAGTGGAATCTATTGTTACAATAAAGGCATTGGAAACAGTGAAGCTTTCTTATGAATAAACCTTTTTAAAAAATGCAAATAACATTGTGATGGTTATTGGACAGTGGGAAAATGAAATTGTTGCAAGCAGTGAATGATATATCCTATTATAACAAGATTTGCTGTAACAAGATTCTACTGTATTATGGAGAAAACAAGAGCCATATACAGTACAGCACTTGTAGGCTAATTTTAATGCAGGTAAGGTACATGATAATTTTTTTTATGCAAATTCATTTACAAATCTTGACCAAACAGAGCTAATTCTATGGACAAAAATTCATTACTGCATCTATTTTATGCCAAATTTACTGCAACTCATGTTCCAGACCCTGCTAATTTTGAAAATATCTTTCCAGGGATTCCTCCATCAGCTCATATATATATATATATACAGTGGCCCCCCGCCTAAAAGACCTCCCGTGCAAGGGATTTTCGCCAAACAGACCAGCTCTGCAAGCAGTTTTTCCTCTCGCCCAACAGACAAAATCCGCCAAACAGACTTCTTTTTGTTTAAAATTAGGGTTGAAAATTGAAATTTTAAATTTTGTATGTAATTGAATTTGTGTAAAGGACTTTTTGTCTAACAGACTCGTCCCTTGCACAAATCAAGTC